TGGTATTCATATTCAATGAGTTATATCTACTCCCAAAATATCTATTCTTATTTTATACCGATTCAATTAGTAATTAAATCTTACGCAATCCTTATCAATCATAGAAAAATTAGTAATTATCTATATCCAAAGGCACTATGTTACTCGTAAAAAATTGTATATATAATACAATGATCAGATTGACATGTATAGGTGTTTGAACTTATGAGGGTATATTTTTCCCCCCAAATTTCACACACTTTCCCTCCCAAATTTTACAAACCCAACACAAATATTCCACAACATATAGCTACACATACTTCAGTACACACTCACTACAGATACACACACACACACATTATATATACACTCCAACTATACACGCACACTCCAATACACGTATAGTATCATAATTTAATATTTAGTGACTTCAATCACGGGATATCGCTAGTATATATATATCATTAAACCTTTATATAACTAAAATCATGTTGTAAGTACTGCAGCATATTAATTCTAACATACAATTCATATGTTCCTTCAACCTGCATATTTTATTACTTTGGAAGGTTATTTTTTTTTCACAACCAACACAGAACAAACTTCGGTTCACGAAGCCTATCATGTGAAAAATCCACCTAGCCAGTTTTCCTTTTCGAATTGGCCCAACTTATTTAGTGGTCAACATTTAAGACGCTAACGCAAGCTTTTTAGAGCAGACAAATTGTACACACAGACACCAACCTCACAAAGTGGTCCTTGACAGTTGTGCTCTGCCAGACTAAGGATCGTTCACAGAAGAGGCTGGTCAACGATGTTCGGTGACGGGCCCAGGTCAAGTGAATAGACAAAATTGGAAAAATGAAGAGAAATACATATAGTAATTTCATTAATTTTTAAGAATATGATGCTATTTTTGTCTTTTAAAGATCTAATTATTATATTTTATCATATTTTAAATTTGAATTTATCCTCATTTAAATTTGAGTCTCTCTATTAGAAATGTCTATACCAAATCAAAATTTTGACCATTTTTTCTACTCAACTTTAGGTAAGGATTTGAATTTTCATTGGAGATGATTTGATGAGTGAAACTATAGAAATACCCTTACCAAAAGGATAAACANCCAAATCAAAATTTTGACCATTTTTTCTACTCAACTTTAGGTAAGGATTTGAATTTTTATTGGAGATGATTTCATGAGTGAAACTATAGAAATACCCTTACCAAAAGGATAAACAAAAAAAAACTTTAAATTTCATAAGTTTTTTTTCAACTTAGAAATGACTAGGGTGATAAGCCTATTTTTGATATTTCTAGATGGATAAATTATAAAAATAATATCTAAACTAAAAAAGAAGAAGAAGATGGATAAATAATACGACAACGTTCAGAAGAAGGGGATGAAGTTAGGGGTGTTTATGGGTTGAGTTGAGCTACGCCTATGAAATTTTTTTCGGATTGGGTTTAGGTAAAGTAGGCTCAAATCTTTATTTGAGTGAGTTATTAGTCAAGCCGGACAAGGGTAGGAGTAAACTACTAGCAACCCAACCCGTCACTCACGGAACGGGCCTTGCGGGGTAGGCCTTGTTTTTTTTTAATATACATCGTCATTTAAAAAGTTTTTAATTTAGTAGTTTTATAAATTAATTTTTAGATGAAAAGTAGAGTTAAAATGGATAAAAAATAAATAAAAAATAATTTTATTTGAGAGGAATTATTTATTTTTTAAGTAAAAATACTAAATAATACCCTAAATTACTCAACTTCNTTTCTAGATGGATAAATTATAAAAATAATATCTAAACTAAAAAAGAAGAAGAAGATGAATAAATAATACGACAACGACCAGAAGAAGGGGATGAAGTTGGGGGTGTTTATGGGTTGAGTTGAAATTTTAACGTCCTATGAAATTTTTTTCGGATTGGGCTTAGGTAAAGTAGGCTCAAATATTTATTTGAGTGAGTTATTAGTCAAGCCAGGCAAGGGTAGGAGTAAACTACTAGCAAGCCAACCCGTCACTCACGGAGCGGGTCTTGTGGGGTAGGCCTTGTTTTTTTTTAATATACATCTTCATTTAAAAAGTTTCTAATTTAGTAGTTTTATAAATTAATTTTTAGATGAAAAGTAGAGTTAAAATGGATAAAAAATAAATAAAAAATGATTTTATTTGAGAGGAATTATTTATTTTTTAAGTAAAAATACTAAATAATACCCTAAATTACTCAACTTAGTATTTAAGTAAATAATATTTTTGTGAGATGAATATACACCTAATTTTTAATGATCAATTTTTTTTCAAATAAAATGGATGGACGAGCGTACAAACAAGTTCTTAAGCCAAGTTTTAACAGGTTTTGAGAGTGGGCTAATGAGCCGAGTAATGCCTTAGGGCAGGCCTAAGTCTCCTGCATTGAGGTCATGTTCGGATAAGCATGGTATTGTGTTTATCGAATCCCAAATCTATTTTTTGTAGACTGAATAACTGGTCCCATGGATCAACTCGACCATAGACACCCTAGCGATGTAAGGTTCGAGCTACACGCACAGTCTCACAGACAACTCGAGAGAGTGGGTCCCATGTAACATGGCCATGAAAAAGACTAAACAATTGATGTGGGCTCCAATCATTCTGTTTTGTTTGGCTGTTAGCCTGCTACCAAAGGTACCCATTGCATTGCCGTACGTTGTGCTCTCATTTTCTAGTGTGCTACTACTACATCTTTTGTTCCGTAGGTATAAACTAATTATATCGATAAAAAAAAAAAAATAGAAGAAAGTTCAAAACACGTCGGCCAGAGTATACAAAAAAATTGTCAAAGAGATTCTTTCATGCCTACCGTTGAACTAAAAAATAAATAAATAAATAAATAAATAAATTTCTACCCCAAATTTGTTAGTTAGTTTGTAACTTCAATTTCTTTGTATAATTTTGTTGTTTAACATTTGTTTTTCTCGCATATTACGAAAGTATTAAAGTGATCAAATTTTGAAAAATCAAATATGTGATCCAAATAATATGACAAATTCACACAACTAACGAGATATAATTGAACCCCTTATTTGTTTGGGGTGAGTAATTGTTGAACTCACCAAATTCAAATTTAAGCCTCAAATTTGGTTAAAGTTATGATTTTATATTTAATGGTTTGTTTGGTAATAATAATAGAAAAAAGAAAGGATGAAGTTTGACTTTTCATCATTTGAGAAAATAAAAATAATTTTACTCTTTTTTGTTTGGTACAAAAGATGAAAAATAAAATACATATTTTTTTATTATTTTATTTGGCATAAGAAGAAAAATGGATAAAAATCACTTCCAAATAATTACCTTAACATATTTATGGTAGTTTGAAAAAAACTACGGGCNTTTTGTTTGGTACAAAAGATGAAAAATAAAATACATATTTTTTTATTATTTTATTTGACATAAGAAGAAAAATGGATAAAAATCACTTCCAAATAATTACCTTAACATATTTATGGTAATTTGAAAAAAACTACGGGTTATTTGTATTCTTCGGATACCTCGACCCTCACATTACAATTCTTGGCTCACTATTGTCCAAATCAGTTGTGCACTAGGTTTAATGTGAATCGAATCGTTTAGTCATCCTTGGTAATTGGAAAAATGAGGACCATAGAAATACGTGTCACTCAATCAAAGAAAAATAATGTAGAGTTGATTGAAATGGACATTAAATACTTTTCAAGTGATCTCCAAATCACTAATATAGTTATCAAAATTGTGAAAATAAATATGTAAGTTCCAGATTCAAGTAATACACGATCAATTCTAATCACTTTGATTTGGACCGCCCTAATTGGGTCCACTTGTACATAGTAAATGACAAACTAAGTGGACCCCATGATAATTATTATTTTTTTTCCAATCGGTGATTCTAAAATCTGAACCTTTATTTGCCCTAAAAGAAATTTGAACCTTGGAGGTTAAGTAGGTAATTTTAGGCAACTTTTGCACCATACTTCCATTCTCCTTCCGGTCGATTTTCGGAGAGATTAAAAATGCTGGACAGAAGGGATGCATTTTCCACCCCCTTTCTTTTCATTTCAATTTTTCTTCTTCACCAAACAATTCCATCCTCTTCATTCTGCGTCAAACCAAACAGCCTCGAAGTGCAATTGTTGGGAAGAAAATGGAGGCGGACCTGGCGCAGTACCAGTTGCCGAAGTAGTGTGTTTTTTTGAAAATTTTGAGATTTTTTACTTCTTTTGTTTTTGCTTTGTATTGTACGGAATTTTGGTGAGTCTAAGAACTCGTTTAACTTTTGAACCCAATTTTTCATCCATCCTGTTGTTATATTTTTCGCTGTAATTTGTGTTATTCCTCGTGTTTGGTGCGATCTTATCAGAGCTAGAGTTTTGAAATTTGAGAGTTGTGCTGAAGTTCGGTTTTGAAATTTGGGTCTTTTTTCCTTGTGGTGTTCTTGGATGTAGAGTTGCTAGATTCAAGCATCTACAACAAGAAACCCTGGGTTGAACATAATCTAAATGAAGCATTGGCCAACACAATACTAGTTGGAAGAAAGATGATACTTTGCACTGGAGGAGGGTTTATTCGTTTGAAAGACATAGCTTTCCAACATTGAAATCTATTGTTGACGGAGAAAACAAGCTCAAATACAATTAACGGGAAAATTTGAAAAGCCCTTCAAGGATCAATGTCATGGCATTAGAAGAAATTTTTCAAGTGAATTCCTTCCAATCTATTTCTGTTATGACCTCATCGGAAATCATATAAATACAACTTCTATTTGATATAACTATTTGTATAAATATTTTACGATTAACAAGCAACGCCCTCTTATACAGATTATGAATTAATCTACTACAACTATAGAATATCACTCTTTCGCAAATTATTGCATATAATATGGAAACGATTCCAAATTATAATAATTTAAAACTACAATGTCTCAACAAAAACAATCACAAAACATGAGGGGTTGATACTGAAATATAAGTAATTATTTGTCAAAATACAATAAACATTCCACTTTTAACGTCCTACGTTAAGAAGTGATTCAGTAGACATAGCATTAGCAGAAACACATGATGAAGGTAATGTCATTGCAAATGCATTTGAAACTTCGTTCCCAAATAATGCAGTCATGCCAGCACCTTCAATATCCATAAATACTTCGGGCAAGATAACTTCCCCATCCAAATACTGCCTCACTTGCCTCATGCTAGGCCTAGTCATCGGATTATAGTGCGAACAAAGCAGGCCTAGCTTCAAAACCAACTTTATTTCCTCTACCACAAAATCACCTTCCAATCTCGGATCAGTTGCATCAAGAATTGCTCCTTCTTTCCATTTCTCCAAAACCCACCGAACCAAACTCATATCATCAATCAATCCCTGGACCTTTAGAGGTCTTTGTCCGCAAGCTACTTCCAGCATAAATGCCCCGAAAGCAAAGACATCTGTACTAGTACTTGCCTTGCCAGTTCTGACAAGCTCTGGTGCAATATATCCATAAGTTCCAACCACATGGGTTGTTCTAGGATTTTCTCCTTGATCATACAATCTAGCAAGCCCGAAGTCTCCTAGCCTTCCATTGAAATTGGCATCCAGAAGGACATTACTTGCCTTGACATCTTTGTGAAGAACAACTTTTTCCCACCCTTCATGCAGATATAGAAGCCCTGATGCTATTCCTCTGATGATTCGATACCGTTGAGCCCAATTAAGGCTTTGTTTTTCGTTACTGTGTAAAAACTTGTCAAGACTACCATTGGGCATATAATCATAGACCAATAGAAGCTCTCCCTTTCTCCGGCAATAGCCGAGGAGGAGGACCAAGTTCCTATGTCTTAGCCTACCCATGCTAGCAATTTCAGCCACGAATTCCTTCATCCCTTGTTTTGAATCATGGGAGACTCTTTTGACTGCTACTTGTGCATTGGAAGAAGGAAGTACCCCTCTGTAAACCTGTCCAAAACCTCCTACTCCAAGAAGTTCTTTGTGGTTGAACCCATTGGTTGCTTTGTAGAGATCCTTGTAGGAGAACCTCTGAGGCCCATATTCCAATTCCCAATCCTCGAGTATTTCTGCATATTTTCTTCTCCTTTGGATGTAAAGAATCCCAGCCAAAGTGATGATCAGCACAACCAGTACTGTCGAGGCCGAGATTGCAAGATCTCGATGTAATTTTCGTTTGGATTTTCTGGGCCAGGTAACGGAAGGAAGTTTTGATAGGTCTAGGCTTTGTGCTGGCCCAGTTTTGTTGAAGCTCCACCCCAGAATGTCGTGGTTGCCTGTCGAACCTTCAATTGGTCCTGTAGCTGCAGAGAAACCAACATACATAGAGTCCAAGAAAACTGGAGAGAGATCAATGGGAGCCGATAAGAGAGGTTTATTTGGTTTCGCGATTCTGATGGGAGCTAATGTAACGGTGATAATCTTTTTCACTCCATCATAATCTATCCAAACCTGCGTTGGGGTTTTAGTTGTAAGATCCAAGCTCTTGTTGATCCCTTCTGTATAGGAAAAAAATGACGCCCGAGCCGATACATTGGATATTAGACTGTTCACATCAATTCCGACATGATTGTTGTCTATATCTTTCATATCAGGGTTCATATTAATATCAAACTCAACTGCAAGTACATGGTTGGAGGTAAGGCCATTGTTGAAAGAATTGAAAACACCCAGGAACTGGTCAGGCATGCCTCGCTGGGTGAAGCCCAGACATGGTGTGATGGTGAAGGCAAAGCCATGGCCGGGGGGATGTCCCAGTTTAGGAACAATGGCGAAGATGAAATAGGTGGAAAATGAAAGAGACTGTGCCGACCCAGATGAGGAAGACGTGTTAAATTTGACAGGAGTTTGGCAGAAAGCATGGCCAGTATCTTGCTTTGAAGTGGTTNAACAATACGTAGGCTCCAATAAAACTTTGTTTGTTTGGCTTTTTCTATGTAGTACTAATTTTTGGATTGTAATAATAACTTGCAATATACACTAGCCATAAACCCATGTAGATGGGTAGATGTAATACCACCTCTTTGGTGGTATTATAAATCGGTGTAAGGCCATCAACAGTATGAGGTCATAGTATTTGGTGGTATTATAAATCGGTGTAAGGCCACCGACAGTATGAGGTCATAGATTTACTATGGTACCTTTCCATACCTACACCTCATAAAATCAAACCCTTTTGCACTCTGCAATTCCTCTCGCTGAAGAAGATGACGAAGGGGCATCATTTGGCTCCGGTTTTCTACCCCCAAGGACGGAGTCATTAGTGAGCTACGGTTGACTGAAGTCCAGAGTAAAAAAAAAATTATCACTTTCATACAAGATTACTAGTACCAGTCCACTAAATCACCAATCATTAGTCTAATTTTTCAAAACTCGTAAGGCTTAAGCCCCAATAATCATGGAAAGAAAGAGTTTTTCGGAGTTTCTATTCCTATTTTAATCGGAATAGAGAGTGGATTACGCCAACGTCAAGCATCTCGATTTCGTCTGTATCATTCATTCGTCTTCTAGTTCTACTTGACTAAGCTTCTTCCAAGAATCACAAACAAGGATTACGCCTAAGCTGTGTGAGGTATATCATATATTCATACGTTATTTGAGTTGTTTTATCTAATTTTCNTTGTTTGTTTGGCTTTTTCTATGTAGTACTAATTTTTGGATTGTAATAATAACTTGCAATATACACTAGCCATAAACCCATGTAGATGGGTAGATGTAATACCACCTCTTTGGTGGTATTATAAATCGGTGTAAGGCCATCAACAGTATGAGGTCATAGTATTTGGTGGTATTATAAATCGGTGTAAGGCCACCGACAGTATGAGGTCATAGATTTACTATGGTACCTTTCCATACCTACACCTCATAAAATCAAACCCTTTTGCACTCTGCAATTCCTCTCGCTGAAGAAGATGACGAAGGGGCATCATTTGGCTCCGGTTTTCTACCCCCAAGGACGGAGTCATTAGTGAGCTACGGTTGACTGAAGTCCAGAGTAAAAAAAAAATTATCACTTTCATACAAGATTACTAGTACCAGTCCACTAAATCACCAATCATTAGTCTAGTTTTTCAAAACTCGTAAGGCTTAAGCCCCAATAATCATGGAAAGAAAGAGTTTTTCGGGGTTTCTATTCCTATTTTAATCGGAATAGAGAGTGGATTACGCCAACATCAAGCATCTCGATTTCGTCTGTATCATTCATTCGTCTTCTGGTTCTACTTGACTAAGCTTCTTCCAAGAACCACAAACAGGGATTACGCCTAAGCTGTGTGAGGTATATCATATATTCATACGTTATTTGAGTTGTTTTATCTAATTTTTTGTTGATTATTTTTTAACTAGAATTGTAAAATCATTGTTGTTTTGTTGATTTGTTTCTCTAATTTTCAACCCTTATCTACTTTATTAGGATAAAAAATCAAGAACGAAAAAGAACAAAAACAATTTTTTCGTTCTTCAAAAAGAAAAGTGGAGAAAAAACATCAAATAACGGAAGCAATTGATACAGATTCAATAATAGATGCCTTTTATTCTAAGAAAAATCGAAGAGTCCAATTTCATTATTAAGTGTTTATGAATTTACATTTGTATTATTGTATATATGTTTATGAATTTATATTTGTATTTTGTTAGTTGTATAAATGCTTAACTTAGTTCGAGATAAACAAAAATCTTAACTCCGTCCATGTCTACCCCAACCAGATAACATCTCTCACCGAGAAAGCTCTCCTCTTTTCTCACCCATATTTATCCCTCAACCCCATGAACCCCTAGTAACTGATTTCTACAAACAGAAACTAACAAGGGTTTTTAGGTAGAAGATTTTGGAATTATATGTCGTATACACACATACCCCAATTCCTGATAACGATTGTACCTACAACCCCCATTCGCTGCAATCCACCTTTTCTTACCCCCATCTGCGTACACATGGGGTGTGTTTCTGTTTCTACCATGACATAGAGAATGGGTATTGAATTTCTATGATAAAAAAATTCAGTGGAATTGGTTGGGTTTTCCAGAGAGTTGCTTCAAAAAGCCCAAAAATGCCATATCTTGAATTTGTGATTTTTTTACCAGGCTTTTTGATTGGATGCATTTGTGGATAATTTTGGTGGCCTTCAACATCATTGTCTAATTTTATGTTCTTTTGGGTTTTTTTTTTCTATTGAATTTTTTTTTCTTAAAACATTGGCATATGTTATTGTCGTTGAACTATATTTTGTTATTTTACATTTTTGATTATAATTCCCTTTTTTTTTTTTTGCAGAGATTTATAGCAGCTAGAACGTGTTAATTTTATCCCCAATTCCTCTGGGTCAGAACGAAGAGGTTATCGTCATCGAGGATTAATCTTTGCCAGTTGACTATATGAACTTTATAAATTATATTATGTTGTACGATCACAATGGGTAACCCATTATAGGGATGACTACACAAGCCACAATTTTGCAAATGTAAGTAGAGTTGTGTGCTTGTACTAAGGTTGACAAGAATGGGTAGCAGAGTATTTTGTATAAGTTGGCTATATCATCTAATGGTTGTGCAATTAATTTTCACTATGGCTATGGATAGCCAATTTTGGGGATGTTCCTACTGAAATATGCACAGGTTATTTAATCAACCACTTTTTAATTTATAATGATTTTGTTGCATTTCTAAAATGTGTGTTAATAAGAGTTATGATAATTTATGTGGATTTTTTATTAGAGCCATTTTTTTTTTTGGTAGGAATTGCCATAGCAAATGTTATAACAAAAATATTGCAAAATCGTTACACAAACAGAGTAATGAAATGAATGATATTAAGAGTAAAATTGTATATTTGCTATATGAGATGTTATAGAATAGATATTATTTATGAGACGCATCATAGTACCAATTAAACAAACAAACATGGGAGGAGATTGTCATACTTTTTTNAGTATGAGGTCATAGTATTTGGTGGTATTATAAATCGGTGTAAGGCCACCGACAGTATGAGGTCATAGATTTACTATGGTACCTTTCCATACCTACACCTCATAAAATCAAACCCTTTTGCACTCTGCAATTCCTCTCGCTGAAGAAGATGACGAAGGGGCATCATTTGGCTCCGGTTTTCTACCCCCAAGGACGGAGTCATTAGTGAGCTACGGTTGACTGAAGTCCAGAGTAAAAAAAAAATTATCACTTTCATACAAGATTACTAGTACCAGTCCACTAAATCACCAATCATTAGTCTAATTTTTCAAAACTCGTAAGGCTTAAGCCCCAATAATCATGGAAAGAAAGAGTTTTTCGGGGTTTCTATTCCTATTTTAATCGGAATAGAGAGTGGATTACGCCAACATCAAGCATCTCGATTTCGTCTGTATCATTCATTCGTCTTCTAGTTCTACTTGACTAAGCTTCTTCCAAGAACCACAAACAGGGATTACGCCTAAGCTGTGTGAGGTATATCATATATTCATACGTTATTTGAGTTGTTTTATCTAATTTTTTGTTGATTATTTTTTAACTAGAATTGTAAAATCATTGTTGTTTTGTTGATTTGTTTCTCTAATTTTCAACCCTTATCTACTTTATTAGGATAAAAAATCAAGAACGAAAAAGAACAAAAACAATTTTTTCGTTCTTCAAAAAGAAAAGTGGAGAAAAAACATCAAATAACGGAAGCAATTGATACAGATTCAATAATAGATGCCTTTTATTCTAAGAAAAATCGAAGAGTCCAATTTCATTATTAAGTGTTTATGAATTTACATTTGTATTATTGTATATATGTTTATGAATTTATATTTGTATTTTGTTAGTTGTATAAATGCTTAACTTAGTTCGAGATAAACAAAAATCTTAACTCCGTCCATGTCTACCCCAACCAGATAACATCTCTCACCGAGAAAGCTCTCCTCTTTTCTCACCCATATTTATCCCTCAACCCCATGAACCCCTAGTAACTGATTTCTACAAACAGAAACTAACAAGGGTTTTTAGGTAGAAGATTTTGGAATTATATGTCGTATACACACATACCCCAATTCCTGATAACGATTGTACCTACAACCCCCATTCGCTGCAATCCACCTTTTCTTACCCCCATCTGCGTACACATGGGGTGTGTTTCTGTTTCTACCATGACATAGAGAATGGGTATTGAATTTCTATGATAAAAAAATTCAGTGGAATTGGTTGGGTTTTCCAGAGAGTTGCTTCAAAAAGCCCAAAAATGCCATATCTTGAATTTGTGATTTTTTTACCAGGCTTTTTGATTGGATGCATTTGTGGATAATTTTGGTGGCCTTCAACATCATTGTCTAATTTTATGTTCTTTTGGGTTTTTTTTTTCTATTGAAATTTTTTTTCTTAAAACATTGGCATATGTTATTGTCGTTGAACTATATTTTGTTATTTTACATTTTTGATTATAATTCCCTTTTTTTTTTTTTGCAGAGATTTATAGCAGCTAGAACGTGTTAATTTTATCCCCAATTCCTCTGGGTCAGAACGAAGAGGTTATCGTCATCGAGGATTAATCTTTGCCAGTTGACTATATGAACTTTATAAATTATATTATGTTGTACGATCACAATGGGTAACCCATTATAGGGATGACTACACAAGCCACAATTTTGCAAATGTAAGTAGAGTTGTGTGCTTGTACTAAGGTTGACAAGAATGGGTAGCAGAGTATTTTGTATAAGTTGGCTATATAATCTAATGGTTGTGCAATTAATTTTCACTATGGCTATGGATAGCCAATTTTGGGGATGTTCCTACTGAAATATGCACAGGTTATTTAATCAACCACTTTTTAATTTATAATGATTTTGTTGCATTTCTAAAATGTGTGTTAATAAGAGTTATGATAATTTATGTGGATTTTTGATTAGAGCCATTTTTTTTTTGGTAGGAATTGCCATAGCAAATGTTATAACAAAAATATTGCAAAATCGTTACACAAACAGAGTAATGGAATGAATGATATTAAGAGTAAAATTGTATATTTGCTATATGAGATGTTATAGAATAGATATTGTTTATGAGACGCATCATAGTACCAATTAAACAAACAAACATGGGAGGAGATTGTCATACTTTTTCTTACTAGTACTACTTTACATAGGTATTAGAAATGTAAGGAATACATTTCACAATCTCATGCATAGCAATTCCCCAAACAAACAGGCTATAGGGGTAATTCGTGTCTGAAAGTATAGTGCAATACAAATAGTTTTGAGATGGATGTTGATGACTATTGAATGAGTCTATTATAACTCTTTCGATATTAAATTAATCATCGCGTATTTGAGAGGAATTCATTGTATTGAGATGGAATTTACCGCTAAAAAAAAAGAATTCTTTATATAAATTCTAGTGGACCCGTGGTGTTTTATGACGGCTGGGGTACAGAGAGGTTCTTCACTCTAAGTTGGAAGAGTGATTACCTAGATATTGGGAGTGCATTTCTTTCATGTCTTTTAAACTAGTAATTAATTGAATTTTCTTCTCTTAAAAAGAGAGTTGTTGAAAAAAGGGGCTGCAATAGCTCCATTTGCGAGGGTTTGAAGGATGTTTTTGTGCCAGTGTGTTGTTGGAAATTATCAAGATAAGTTAATCTTTGTATTGTTTGATATTGTACTAAATCTTTTTTCGTGATACAAAAAGTATTTCAAATGTCTATAAGTGATATTGTATAGCAAATTTTTTGTCCCTTATTTTTTTTGTGTTTCTTTTGCGTTGTTGGTGAAGTAATGGGTGACTATATACTCTCAACAAATTTGGTAGTAGAGAAATATTTGTGGCTATATAAAATGTAATCACTCATAGTCAGAGGATTAAGCTAAAAAAAATTAAAATGGTTCCCAAACACCTTGGGCCTGAATGTAATCTAAATGAAGCATTGGCCAACACAATACTAATTGGAAGAAAGATAATACTTTGCACGAGGAAGGCTTATTTGTGTGAAAGACAGTTTTCTAAAACTGTCTTACAAGATAAAGAATGTAAAATTCAAGCGCAAGTTGTCGCAAAATAATAAAACTCGGAAGTCTGAGATCATACCACAAGGAATTGGGAAAGAATTAAAACACAAGAAAAAATAAAATAAAAATACTTTAAAAATTATTGTAGAGATTTGTTTGTTCAAAAGAACAAAAATTGTTTGGTTAACAACATGAATTTGAAATACTAAACCATCGAGGATACTCTTCCAATTCTATACGACAATTATTAATGATTCAGTTTTTGAACTCAATTGAGAATTAGTTGAGGAATGATCCTAATCAAAATATTTAGTGGTTGATTAGTCTCAGATATTGTGTTATTTTGATATTTATTATTTGCTAATTACGTTGGGTAAGGTATTAATTGTGTTGAATTAATTGTGATTTGGATATTATCTTCTCTTTCTAGTGTTTTGTCTAATTTTGCAGGTAAAATAGTGGAATTAATGATGTGAAGGATAAACTACATAAATGGAGGAGATCCATATCAATATGAATTAAAAAGGAGCATCTACCTAACTCGTTTGGACAGTGAAAGAGGAGCGTCTGGACGGAATTTCCAACAACTACAAAGAAAAATTTGAAGGCTCATGTCTAGACGGAAGAATATGAGTGTTCAGACGGGTGTTGCTTAGAGGCCAAGACACCCATGCGCGTTTGAATGGAAGAATACAAGCGTCTAGACGCGTGTTGGAATCTGTCCAGTACCACAAGTTGTTAATGAGAACTAGGTTTTTTCTACCCCATTGACTGTATAAAGGGGTGTAGTTTTACATTGTATTCAACAGTTTATCAGCCTTTTCTCTTCTAGTTTATTGTATTATTTTTATAGTCGGCTAAAAGTCTAATTAAAGTCAAGGGAGATATTTTCAATAAAAAATGGTATATATTTTTTGATCTAATGATTTTAATGCTTGATTTAGTCTTTTAATTCAATTCTTGTCTTCTAGTAAATTTTTTGCTCTGTATAGTTTCTTAATTCGTTGTGTCACGTACATCAAATGTTTGAGATTTCATATGAGTCTAATAACTGGTTATTTAATGCTTGAGTTGATTAATTAAAATTTTTATAAGATAATTGATCTATTATTTAAATAAATTTAGGATTTATCTGTTAGAGAACTTAATTTATCGTAGATTCTGGGCACAATGAATGCTTAAAATCTGCATGTGAATTCTTAGATTTATTTGGATAATTTATTGGTTATAACTTTTGATTTTTTATTTTATCACCACAAAATATTCTGATTGGGATCACCTCAGTTGATTTCTCAATTGAGTTTGAAAATTGAATCATTAATAATTGCCGTGTGAATTTAAAAAGGTATCCTTGATAGTTTAATATTTCAAATCATTGTTTTTACTTAATTAATTTTCTGTGCTTTTGAACAAAACCAATTTCAAACAACTTCATAGTATTTTTATTTTCTTTTTCAATGTGTTCTAAGTTTTTCTCAAATCTCTATGGTTAGGGGTGTCCATGGGCCGGATAACCCACGGGTCCCGCTACCCGAGCCGAAAAAAAAATAGGCTCGAAGCCCGATAGGCCCGACAGTTGGCCCGCCCGAGCCCAAACCCAATAGCCATTATGACAGGGCTTGAGTTTACCCCTAAACTCATTACCCGCCCCGAAGCCCGACGTCGGCCCAATAATCCGCCCAAATACCAGGCCCAATAACCCGCCCACACACCCAAAACCTGAAGCCCTCCCGAAACCCACCCGAAGCCCATACCCTACTATATATGTTTGTTGGATATTTATGTGTAACTGTTCATTTTATTAATGATAATTAGGTTATGCAAAAAAGAATTATTACTTTTACAAGGATTAAAGATAATCATAGTGCATAAGTTATTTTTGAAGTTATTTATAATTAGTTACAAATTTATTGTATTCAAGACAAGATTTTTACTATTACTTTAGATAATGCAACAAATAATAGTGGGACTATAAGTTATTTAAAATGTTATTTAACTTTACCATGTGAAGATAATTTTTTTCATATGAGATGTATGTGTCATATCATATATCTCATAGAACAAAGTGGTCTCCATGATATTAGATGTATAATTGATAAAATTAGACATATTATTTATCATATAA